AGAGGTCCAGGAAGGGGAGAGAGGTGTTAGAGATGGTCCAGGTAAACTTAAGGTTGGGGTGGAAGGTGTTAGTGAAGTGTATGAACTGTTCGAGCTCCTCGTGGGAGCACGAGGCGGCACCGATACAGTCATCAATGTAACAGAGGAAGAGGTGGGGTTTAGGGCCGGTGTAGGTACGGAAGAGGGATTGTTCCACGTAACCTACAAAGAGGCAGGCGTAGCTTGGGCCCATGCGGGTACCCATGGCTACCCCCTTTGTCTGTAGGAAGTGGGAGGAATTGAAAGAGAAGTTGTTGAGTGTGAGGACGAGTTCGGCTAAGCGGATGAGGGTGTCAGTGGAGAGGGACTGGTCGGGCCTGCGGGACAGGAAGAAGCGGAGGGCCTTAAGGCCATCTGCATGGGGAATGCAGGTGTAGAGGGAGAATGCCTGTCGGGATTAATCCCTGCTATGGACTTGAGGGAATTTAAATCAAAATACGCTTGATCTTTATTCTTGAGGAGAGTTATAACTGTCACATTCCTGAAGTTGACAGCAGGAGAGGGGGAAGAGTAATCTTGCCTCGCAAATCCCTAGGGATCAGTCTGTGGAGTTTTGATGTGAGTAAAAACCAGCCTGGTTTGATCTCAGCAGGAAACCCACCAGGGCTGCTGGCTTTGTTGTTTTCTACAATTTAATTGTTTGTTGCAGCTCTGTGATCCATGATCATGGATTCTACTGTGGGGTATTGGGGGATAGCCTGGAGACTATAATTGGCAATGCAGATTCAAAGTTGAAGAGCTGTTGAAAATATTCTTTCTAACATTTACGGACATCATTGTCAGCTTCAAGAGAAAGAAACACAGTCTAGTGAGGATTGGGGATATTGTCCATTTGACCTTAGACTTTTTAAAAATTAAATCATGGGATGTGGGCATCAGCAGCTAACCAGCATTTAATGCCCAAATATAGTTCTCCTTGAGAGGATGGTGGTGAGCATCCTTCTAGAACCATTGCAGTCCATGTGGTGTGTGTACACCCTCAATGCTGTTTCGAAGGGAATTCCAGCATTCTGACCCAGTGACACTTAAGGATTGATGACATATTTACAAGTCAGGATAGTGGGCAGCTTGGGCAGGAACTTGTAGTTTGTAGTGTTCCCGTGTATCTGCTACCCTTGTCCTACTAGATAATCTGCTTGTGGGTTTGGAAGGTGCTGTCCAAGGATTGATGAATTTCTGCAGTGCATCTTGTAAATAGTACATACTGCTGCTACTGAATGTTGGTGGCTGCTTTGGAGTAGTTGGTGTCAAACTTCTTGAATGTTCTGGGAGCTGCAGTCATCCAGGAAGTGGGGAGTATTCCCTCACACCTCTGACTTGTGTCTTCTACATTTTGGACAGGCTTTGAGCAATCAGGAGGTGAGTTACTTGCAACAAGACTTCTTCCTTCTGACTTGTTCTTGTAGCCACAGAATTTATATAGTTAGTCCAATTCAGATTCTATTCAGTGGTAACTCCACAGGATAAGAAATAGGAATAGGAGTAGGCTATTTAGCCCCTTGAGCCTGTTCCAACATTCAATAGGATCACGGCTGATCCAACATTCCTCATGTCTACTTTCCTGCATTTTCCCCACAGCCCGTGATTCCCCTTTTTCATCAAAAATCTATTTATTGTTTATATTGGGGGATTCAATAGTGAGATAGTCTCATTGGAAATGGCCACTGCCATTGTGTAGTGTGAATATCACTTATCACTTGTCAGCCTAAACCTGGATATTGTTCATTCTGCAATTGAACATGGATTGCTTCATTATATGAGGAATTGTTAATTAGGCTGAAAATTGTGCTGTCTTTGTCCAACTTCCCCATTTCCGAACAAATGATAGAGAAAAAGTGATTGATAAAGCAATTGAGGATGATTCAGCCAAGCACAGTACCCTGAGGAACTCCTACTGAGATGTCTTGGAGCTGAATGACTGACCTTCAGCAACCACAACAATTTCCTTTGCCATGTAAGACTCCAAATAGCGGAGAGTTTTCCCCCCAAATTCCCACTTACTCTTGTTTTGCTAAGGCTCTTTGATATGCCACATTTGATTAAAATCGGCCTTGATTTCAAGGGCAGTCACTCCCATTTCACCTCTGGACCAACTCTGTAATGAGGTCAGGAGCTAAAGAATCCTGACAGAACCCAAAGTGAGTGTCACTGGGCAGGTTATTGCTAAGCAGGTGCTGCTTGATAGCACTATTGATGACACCTTCCATCACTTTTCTGATGATCAAGAGTAGACTGATGTGGGGCGATAATTGGGCGGGTTGAATTTGTCCTGCCTTTTGTGTACGGGACATACCTTGGCAATTTTCCACATTGTCAGGTCAGTGCCAGCGTTGTAACTGTAGTGGAACTGTTTCGCTAGCGGCATGGCAAATTCTGGAACACAAGTCTTCAGTACCTGACATAGCTCTGGTGGTATCATGAAGGCTTCACTTATGATGATGGTCCAGATCCAATGGGAAAACTATGAAATAAACACTACTTTCCTTTTGGAAACCAGCTCCACAAGCATTCAGTAAAATCTCCAACTAAATTTAATTTTGGTAAACTGGACACTGTGTCTGAATGGCCAAAAATTATCTCCCCCTATCCAGGCCCTGTCTTCTCAACTCTAAATGGCCAATGGTCCAGGGGAGGACAAAGAAAACATTTTCAATGACCCATTTCAGTACTGCTTAATCTGTGGCAGTAATGTCAATACTGCTTGAGAGAAACTTGCAACCAGTCACTACAAATTATGACAACTTGTCTTTAAAGTTGCATCATGCTTTAAGACACAATGATGAGACCTACAGGTACTAGAAAAGGAAAGAAAATGAAGCCAATCCAACACCCTACATTTCAGTACTTTGTGAGCTGTCTTGTCATATGTGACCAAAGGTTGAGAATCAGCTTGTTCAGTTGCATGAAGAAACTCATGACCCTCGATAGATGTTATCCTCAAATCAAGAGACAAAGACTAGATTGCAGTGTAAACAGACAATACGTGCTGCTTACGTATAATCATAAGACCGTAAAATCAGAAGGTGTAGAAAGCATCGGGATTTGGACCGCTTTGCAGAACACCTACGCTCGTTTCGCACTAAACAACTGCACCTCCCAGTCACGAACCATTTCAACTCCCCCTCCCATTCCTTAGACGACATGTCCATCCTGGGCCTCCTGCAGTGCTACAACGATGCCACCCGAAGGTTGCAGGAACAGCACCTCATATTTCGCTTGGGAACCCTGCAGCCCAATGGTATCAATGTGGACTTCACAAGCTTCAAAATCTCCCCTCCCCTAACCGCATCCCAAAACCAGCCCAGCTCGTCCCCGCCTCCCTAATCTGTCCTTCCTCCCACCTATTCCCTCCTCCCACCTCGAGCCGCACCCCCATCTCCTACCTACTAGCCTCATCCCGCCCCCTTGACCTGTCCGCCCTCCCTGGACTGACCTATCCCGTCCCTAACTTCCACCTACACTCACCTTTACTGGCTCCATCTCCGCCTCTTTGACCTGTCTGTCTCCTCTCCACCTATCTTCTCCTTTATCCATCTTCTATCCGCCTCCCCCTCTCTCCCTATTTATTTCAGAACCCCCTTCCCCTCCCCCATTTCTGAAGAAGGGTCCAGACCCGAAACA